CGATTGATGGAGCTCTAACAACCTAATCAGATTCTATATATCTCAGGTTGCAGCAGAAATCAAGAAAAAATGATCAGACTTCAATTGACTCAATGAATCATGCATCAATCGGTTAAAATCAAACAGTATAACAATCCCAAGTCATTACAATCAAGATCCCTAACACATGGAACTAGGGTTCTTCATACCCAAGTGAGAGAAAGTTCTACTCCATAGAGAGAGAGAGGAAAACAGAATACAAAGCAGTCATACTCATAACAATGGGAAGAATCTGCTCTGGGATGTCAATCTTCACTCCTGGGGAGGCAATCTGGGCTTCAATGGTGAGAAATCCACACCAAATAGCTCATAGGGTTTGTTCTTCGCCCTTTCTCTCTCTAAAACTCTGTTTTTTTGCTCAAAAAGTTGACTCCCTCTACTTTGGCTCGAAATTGGGTTAAAACCCAGAATTTTCCGACCACACGGCCGTGTGGCTTTCCAGTCTGCCCGTGTGGATGGCAAAACGTGGTGTTTCGATTAGTGGACTTCAGGCACGCTGCACGGCCAGAGTCACACGGCCGTGTGGATTTCCAATCTCGCCGTGTGAGCTCCCTGGACTTTCCACATGGCCACAAGGGGTCCCATACACGGCCAGTGTGGCTTGCCCGCGTCATGGAATTCCACACGGCCAAGTCACACGGCCGTGTGGAATTTAGGTCTGCCCGTGTGGAATTTCCAACTTTTCGTCAAACGTCCCAACTTCGTCCAATCGACCTCGAACTCGTGCCCAAACCTTCTTTCATGTACTAGGACTTGAAATATCACAAACAAGAACAACCTAGCGTGAAATCAGCCTAAAACACGAGAGATGAGACTCAAACGGTACAGGATTGGTGGATAAAAACATGTGTAAATATCAAGTCATCAATTACCAAACACCTCCTTATTCCACTTCCGAAGCTTCCTTGCAAAATCATAAAGATAAGAAGTTAGCTCGTTGCCCACTCTCCATTCGTTGCAGAGGAGAGGGAGGAACTCTTCATGAGCCAACCAAGGGGCGAGAAAGTGGAACCTCCTTGGCAATGCAGTCAAAATCGGGATTTTGATCGTAAAATCGTAGGATTTTAGGATTTTACTTAGGGATTCCGATCCTTATTTTACTATAAAATCGGTGGACCTTAAAATCGTTCAAAATCGGGATTAAAATCGTTAAAATCGTGGAATCGTACCAAAATCGGGATTTTGATCCTATGTGAACTAAATAGGGAGTTTGAGCCAATTCAAAAGAAGCAGAACTATTTCGGTGGAAAGGGCAATGAAGGGGATCTTCTCATATATTTTTCCTATTAAAAGAACATTTGCAAAGAAGAAGAAAAACTAATTAGGGTTCGGTCAACCCCTTTCCCTTCTCCTTGTTTAACTCATCGGTAAAACAATTGTCAGAATATTGTAAGTGCGTAAGAGTTAACATTATTATTAGCAAATTATTTAATTAATGAATATATTTATACCAAACCAATGACATTAATTATTTATTGGATTTCATTTATTCTTAGTTTTAAATCATGTTCAGTAGACGATGTCGGAATACTACTTTGAGTTAAACTACCTAGACACAAAATGAAAAACAAGAGTCAAACCCCAAGAGCTCTATCCCTTCCTCATAAATTATTTTGAGTTATGTATTAAATAACAATTAAAATGACGATTTTGGAACGTTAATCTTGAAAATTATCACTTTAAATGTTATAAGTCTTTGTGTTATTAATTATTTACCTTATTAATATTATTATATGTTAATTTCTATATGGTACTTAAAATCCTACGATTCTACGATTCGATTTTACGATTCCGATTTTACCCATTTTTCGATTTTAGGTAAAATTTCGATTTTAACTGCTTTGCTCCTTGGGAGCCTACTCTTCTTTGGAGAACTCGAGCTGCAGGTGAGAATCGGTCTGTGGTCAGACTTCAGCTTGGGAAGGTGGAAAACAGTTGACATCGGGAAGGCATGTTTCCATTCCAGATAACACAAGCTACGATCCAGTCTTTTTTCAGGCGAGACGAGCAAGTGAACCAGGTGAATCTTGGTCTAGATAAGCCAAGATCATACAGGTTGCACTGCTCCAAGCAGTAGTTGAAAGCCCTCGCCTTAGCCGGATTGAAACGGGCTCCTCCTTGCTTTTCAGATGGGTGAGTGATGGAGTTGAAATCCACTAACAATAACCATGGAGAAGTGATGTGTCTAGTAAGGTTCTTAATAGCGCACCACAACTCCCCTCTATCGTGCTCATTAGGGCTCACATAAACCTCTGCCAGGAATCCAACTTCCTTACTACCCAAACAACATTTGAGATGCAGATACTGTGGGTGGGTTTCCTGGAGGTCCAGAGTTACTTGGTTACTATCCCAAAGAACCCAGATACCCCCTCTAAACCCTACAGCCTCCAAAATCTTCCAAGCATCAAACCCCATTGATCTTCTCACGTCGAGGGCATCCTTCCCGCTGATCCTGGGTTCAAAAATACAAACAATATTTGTTGAGTATTTACTCTTATAAAACTCAAAGGTAGAAAGATACTTAGGGTGTTTGGCACCGCTACAATTCCATGAGAGAATTTTATTCATTAAAAGATGAAAAAGGAAACTCCCCTAGTCGTGACCCCAGGGGTGGAGCTACACTTAAGGTAGGGATTGGTCCCGGCCCCTAGGATCGTAAGGATATTTAGTACGAATTTTATAAGTAGAACTTGTTCCGTAAATTTTATTGTGTAATAGTCATGTAGTCTAATGGTAGACAATCTTGACTTGTGTTTTAAAGCACACGGGTTCGATCCACCATGGCTACATACGTTTTGTTTAATCATTTTCGCCCCCCCCCCCGGGTCTCGAAATCCTGGCTCCGCCCCTGCGTGACCTGATGGTCAATCATGATATTAAACAAGATCAATGGCTACTTTGACATTCGACGTCGCTCCCTTCCGAGATCAGCTTCACTTTGGCATCTTCTGGCTTGGCATTGTCTTGTCCCAGGGGTGGATCAAAGACAATCCTTCTAGGATTAGAAGTCCCATTTTCCGGGGATGGAGTGACTTGGTTGTCATTTCTATTGGACTCCTTTTGCTTCGATGGGGTGACTGCTTTCTTCTTACCCTGAGTCCCCTTTGGCAAGGTATCCGGTGGTTCTCGTTCCTTTCCAATTTTTGTGCGGCCTGATATTGAGAGAGAACTCTGACCAGGTCTGATGCAAGATTTCTACATTCTTTTCGGAGAGATGATCTCCTTCTCCTTATCCTTGATGAATCCAGCAAACATTGGGATGCAAGCTGAGGTCTTCTGTTTGTTCACCTCAGGTGACCCTTCCTCGCATGGTCTGCAGTTTTATGTGTTTTTCCTTGTTTATTCTTCATCTTTTGATTTTCAGGTTCATTCTTCTCTTTCGTGTGGCCAGCCTGTTTGTCAACAACTCGATCTTCCTTTTGGATTGTCGTTCCTTGATCATCAGTTGTTGACTGATTCTCCCCATTAAGCCTTCCTCCATCTCTTGTGCATTTTCCTTCCCACTAGTTTCTGCATCGCCCTCTCCCAATGCACTAAATCTTGAACCTTTCACCTCCTCACTTCTCTTTTCTTCCTTCTTCTTACCTTCCTCCTCCTTTCCTTTGATTTTCTGCTGGTTACTCTTTCTTTTTGTTCTCGTGGCAATCATCCATGTCCCAAAGTCATCAAGGATCTTGGGCCTAATCTCTTGACTCACTCTTGCTATCTCATCCTCCATTGTTCTTTGCTCCGGTGAGGTGGACTCTTTAGTGACCAACCTTGGACACTTATCTTCCAAGTGCCCAAACCTCCCACACTCAAAGCAAATGGTATGGAGACCTTCATACTCAACCCTTCTAACCCTTCTTTTCCGTCTGTACTTGGGGATCGGTCTCTTCTTTAGGTCATTCTCAATGCAGATTCGTGCATAGTTTCCTCTAAAGCCATTCGATGTGTTATAGTCAATTTTGATGACCCTTCCAAACTTGCTCCCAATGCTTTCCAGGATTTCTTCATCAAAATAGGCCATTGGTAGACGGGGAAGTCTAACCCAGACAGCAGTCTTGTTGATTTCATCAAAATCAGGACCAAATTCAATAGCCACGGCTCGGAGACGATAGTGATCGTCAACCGTCCACGGTCCGCCATGAAGGGCACGCTCGTAATCCAGTTGTGAATCAAAAAGGGCTTTTGGAAGAAGCCATTCCCAATATCCCCAATCTTAAGACCTCCTGTTCTCGCCCACATCTTATGAACTCTTCTATGGATAAAGGCATAAGGGAAATTCTTACCAAGAACACGAAAGGTAATCACCCTTTTCCATCGATTACGGACTCTTGCGTTAGTACTCTTCTTCACTCTGATTGTAGGGCAGAAGGGATCATCTTACCCTTCCTTTGTGTTTGACTCATCGGACATAAGGTCGTCGCCTTTCGGGATCTCGTCCTCTGGTTCATTCCCAAGAAAAGAGTCTTTGTATGAAACTTTGGGTCTTCGATTAGCCTGCATCTTCGGGTCACTCAGATGTGTTTTCGTTGACCAGAACCTGCCATCTTTTATGCTCCGATGCAGTCGTTCCCGGGGTCTCCATAGCGGAGACTTCCTCTCTAGCTCTGGTTGTAACAATCGCCACTACCAGTGAATCCGCCACTCGTTGTAGCTCGAGATTTCTTGCTCGACTGCACTAGAGAAGACGTCGGCGACCTGTCTGGTGGCTTCAAACAATGGTTTACTGCCTCCTTCGACGGTTTCATTCCAACGGTCATACCACTCACGAGGAGAGAGGCAAGAGCAATCCTCTCTCTACCTTTACCTTCTCTCTCCACTTCCTTTATGACTTTATTTATGAAAACAAAAGTTGTGAGAGCAACGATGTTGCTGAAGGTTGATCTTACAAAAGCTTATGGCCGCATCGGTTGGGCCTAGCAGCCAGGCTCCTAAATATGTATGAAGAATAGGCCCAATCATTTTTCTTATCCTGAGACTCTTACAGCAAATCATGCAATCGGATAAGATATCCACTCCGCGCCTTCTTCCACTCCTTTCAAAAACCATAGACACCGACCACCAAAGCCGCCGGCCAGTCCTCCGATCACAATCTCATTCCCCTACTTCGTAAAATGTCAACTTACTCTAAGGCCCATATCTGCCAGTGCCTGACACGCCTGTCAACTGTTCGACGAAATTCCCCAGTCACAATCTCCGGAGCCCGGCGGAAGAACGGCCAGCAGTTCGTCCAAGGTGTCCTTGCACTCGCCCAGGGACTTACCGAACTCGGCCTTCGCAGCGGCCACGTCGTCGCCATAGCCGCCTTCAACAGGTCTTCTCGTTCTCCGCCTCTCAGTCCTCTCACTTTCATCTCCGCGAATGTATGTGGTCTGCATATTCATCTTCGCTCTTTGCAATCAACAGTGATGAGTATCTGGAGTGGTTGCTGGCGGTTGCATTTGTGGGAGGGATAGTTGCTCCGTTGAATTACCGATGGGTGAGTTTGAGTTCATTGCAAATACCAATTTTGGCTGCCTCTAGAGCTTGATTTCGTTCCTAATCGAAAACAGAATCATATTGCCGCAGAGCTTCCAAGAGGTCAAATCGGCAATTCTGGCCGTCAAGCCTGTGATGTTGGTGAGCGACGAAAGTTGTAGCCGATGGTACTCCGAGCTCGACGACGATAGCGAGTTCCCTTTCCTGAGGTGGCGAGTTTTCGTCGGTTCCAATTCCCTTGATTCTATGAAATTGCCAAACAGTATGCTTCATTCTGTTTGTCCGTACTCGAAGAGCAGCATTCTCGCTGCAATTTCAGCTTCTTGACCACATAATCTGCTCTCAGGTCTGGCTACGGAAACAATTAGGAGTCAGACTATTAGAGATCTGGATTTGAATTTTACTTGGGCTCCTGATGGTGCTGCTATAGTATGTTTTACTTCAGGTATGCGTTCAATGGTTGTCATTGCCACCAACTATGATGCTTGCTTATCGCCAGAAAATGGCAATGGGTAGCTGAGATGTTTTCGTGGTGTTGTGTTTAGGCACCACGGGAAGGCCAAAGGGTGCTGTCATTAGCCATTCTGCATTAATTGTACAGTCATTAGCCAAAGTTGCCATCGTTGGTTACAGGGAGGATGATGTATGCCACTCGTCTCGAGTTCTTATCGCTTACTTGTGTTCGTGAATCTTTCAACGTCGTGTGAATGAATCAAATGGTGTGGATGATCATCATCTGAGGTTTTTCTCATGTGCAGGTTTATTTGCATCTTGCTCCACTTTGCCACATTGGGGGGTTATCGTCAGCCTTGGCCATGTTGATGGTTGGAGCTTGTCATGTCTTGATTTCCAAATTCGAAGCTACAGCAGCTGTGGATGCCATTGAGAAACACTCGGTGACTTCTTTCATCACTGTCCCCACGATCATGGTTGACTTGATTTCCTCAATCACGTAAGAATAAAGATGAAGAGGCTCACTTCTTTTTGCAAGTCATTGTTTCTGTTTGATCTCATACTTCCAAAATCTTCTATTCCAGAATGAAGGAAAACTGGAGAGGCAAGCACTCCGTTAAGAAGATCCTAAATGGAGGCGGGAGTCTTCCACCTGAACTCATAGGACTAGTTGCTAATTTCTTCCCACAAGCGAGGCTTCTTTCAGCTTATGGTATGGGCCTTGCTTTGATGTTCTCGACAACATTTCCTTTGCTTTCCCCTCTACTATATGAAAATTCAGTAACTTTAACACTTTCCTTCTTCTTTTTCCATGTAGGAATGACAGAGACCTCTTCTTCATTAACTTTCATGGCTCTACACGATCCAACAGTGGCCGAAATCTCTCGCCAGTCTCAGGGACCAGAAGGTGTCTGTGTTGGCATGCCAGCCCCCCATGTCGAATTAAGAGTACACCGTGATGGAAGAATATTAACCAGAGGCCCCCATGTTATGCTGGGATACTGGGATCAATACACTGCTCCCCAGAGATTGGAACCCACGGATGAGATTTGGCTCGACACTGGTGACGCAGGTTCTCTCGATGACAGTGGTAATCTCTGGCTCGTTGGGCGTATCAATGACCGAATCAAGACAGGTGGAGAAAACGTTCACCCAGCAGAGGTAAAAAAAACATACTACAAACATCAAAATCATTTTTACATCCATGAATACTAACTGAAACACTGCAAGCTGCTGATACAGATAGAAGCAGTCCTGTTACAGCATCCAGGAGTTATTGGTGCTGTGGTCGTGGGGATTCCAGACGCTCGTTTAGCCGAGCTGGTGGTTGGTTGCATTCAATTGAGAGAAAGCTGGGAATGGTCAGATAGTGGTTGTTGTGTTGCAGAGGATGAGAGCAGGCAAGTGTTATGCAGTGAGACTCTGACGAAGTATTGCAGAGCAAAGAATTTAACAGGGTAACTTCTCCTCTGACATTCACCGTCCATGGAAGTGGAAAGTCAGTGCATGGTCTTTCTTCAGTTCTTTGTTCTGACAGTTAACGTAAGGGTTTCATTTTTGTTGTTTGGTGGGATGGAAGGTTTAAAGCACCGAGAATGTTCGTCCGGTGGAAGGAGGAATTCCCGCGTACGTCGACGGGGAAGATAAGAAGAGATCAAGTGAGAAGAGAAGTTATGTCTCGGCGGTTGCTAGCCATCTCCAGCAACCTTTGAGATGAAAGAATGAATTGAGTTGCTTCATGTCGCTGGTTTGCCCTGCTTGTTAACAATGTAGGTTGAGATTGAGCCCATTAATTTCTTTCATTTAAATTTTAAAACCAACCTTCTGCTCAGGTGGCTGTACTTGTTAGCAATAGTGAGTTTACTTCCAGTTTCTGGATTTGTCAAATGGAGACCTGGTGCCCAATTATACAAATTTTCAATAAACTTTGGGCTCATTAACAAGTTAAGTTAGGTCACCACTAAGCATGGGACACGTGACCTCCTGGATGTTGCAAAGTTGATGATGAAACGATAACGTCTACATAATTGTCTTGTCGACTACTCACCACGACGAATGATATATGAAATAAATAGCTTAGAAGCCTCGTCAAAGATCTCTAACCTTCTTAATATAAGGTGCTTAAGCGGGTGAGATCATGTTCTTAAGGCCTATCTTTTAAGAAAGATCTTAAACCTCTTCCAACCAATAAGAGAAGGAGAGAGAGTGATTAGTAATCATTGTGTAACTACCTGGCTAATACGTTCAAGGGTAAGACTGGAATATACTAAATAGTTAATAATATTATTAATTAAAAGGGAAATTGTGGAAACTGACAAAAACGCGGATTGGATTGAAAGATTGTTTTCTCGTGCATCGTTCTCTTCCCATCCCTAAAACCGCTTCTCTGCAAAACTCGCCGAGGTGCCTCGCTGGAGACATGCCATCGCGAGCCACTTCTCTCCTGCTCTCTGCCGACTCGTTGACCTGTCGTAGCCACCGTCTCGCCTCCAATCCGCCGTTAGCAACCGCACGTGGAACTCCTTGCCTTTTTGTTGTCGGACGTTAACACTGCTCTACTTCGTCGGCGTCTCGTCCTGCCGGCATACCGACTCCATGGAATTGCCAAAACGTGTTTTGTTTGATAATTTTATGTTAATAACGTAATTTTACGTACTTTACATTCTTGCTATATTAGACACTATTAACAACGTAAGTAAAAATGTTAATAATGTATGTAATTGAAGAAGAATCTTGGCAGTAGTTTGTTGACATTGTTATTAATAATTGGAAAAAGATGATTAATAACAATGACATTAATTGTTAATAATTATAGTATAAATGTTAATAATCCAGGTGGAAAAATTTCTTCAGTTTACCTGACAGTGTTATTAATAATTGAAGTAGAAATATGTTGACGCGTTAATAATGAGACTAGGGGTAATTAATAATGGTGTCATTGTTTGTTAATAATTGAAGTTAATAAGTTAAAAATCATCTTTGCATGTAAAGCTTCAGCGTCTTTGAGGTTTAATAATTCGAAAATGGATGATTAATAAAAATAACATTATTTGTTAATAATTATAATTGTAACAAGTTTACAAAATAATCACCGGTTTAAAGCGTCAACGTCGTGGTGTTTAAAAAACTGGAAAAGCGATGATTAATAACGACGACGTTACTTCTTAATAATTATAATATAAATGTTAATAATCAAGTTGGAAAAATCTCTTCTGTATTTACCTGACAGTTTTATTAATAATTGAAGTAGAAATACGTTGACGCGTTAATAATGAGACTAGGGGTAATTAATAACGGCGTCATTGTTTGTTAATAATTGAAGTTAATAAGCTAAAAGTCATCTTTGCGTGTAAGGCTTCAGCGTCTTTGTGGTTTAATAATTCGAAAAGGGATGATTAGTAAGAATGACATTATTTGTTAATAATTATAATTGTAACAAGTTTGCAAAACAATCATCGGTTTAAAGCGTCAACGTCGTGGTGTTTTAAAAACTGGAAAAACGATGATTAATAACAACGACATTATTTCTTAATAATTATAATAAAATTTTAATAATGATACGTTGATAATGGTAACAAAACATGTTACTACCTTAAAATTAAAACGTTAACAATGGTAACAAAAATAGTACTAAAGAAACACACATTAGCAACAAAACATCTAGATAATAAATAAAAGCCGAATGATGAAAACTGTTGCTCCATTTCAAATTTCCTGCAACGAGAGTGATTATAGGAAGGATATTTTGGTCTTTACAATTGCTTATTTTCTTATTTATTTATTCATAAAAAAGGCATGCACTGGGATTTGAACCTTGGTTTCTTTAAAGGCAAGCAAGGATCATAACCAATCTCACTAAGTATATTTATTGTATCTATTTAAATTCAAACATACACGAACCTAAATTATGAAAATCATATGACTTTTTTAACGATTAGTTGGCCACTGAATCTCCCGTAAGTACTTATTTGGTGTTTTAATACTTTGATTATTTTAGTTGCAGTTTAATACTTAATTTAAATTTCTATCTATTTTATAAATATACAATAACCCTAAAATTGCAGCCCAAATATCACTGGTTCGAATATTGCATATCGAATTGCAATATTAAACATGTAGAAGCAATATCGACTTCTTAAATTAATATTATTTTTCAGAATTACTATGGAGAAATTATATCTTTGTGCAAACTATATGAGACTGGTTCTTTTAATGTTTTAGTCGGGATAACCGCTACATTTTAAACTTCTTCATAATCTTGCATGATTGGATCCAATGATCATTATACAAGATTGTGTTTAATAGGGTGGCTCATTTCACCACTTTTTGGCGTGTTAATGAATTTGTAGGACAATGACAGGTCTACATCTACACTCATCACAATCTACACATCATATAAATGTGAAATGTGAAATGTGAAATGAGAAAAGAGGGATTCCATTTCAAATTTGATGCGTACAGAGCAATTTTTTAGGGGTAAATTTAGAAGATGCCAGTGCGGTCGGTCTGTTGAGCACGAAAGTAAAAATATGTTTTCATTTAAACGGGCCCAAACTGTTATTTGGCCCACTAATCGTGCACCCATCGCCAATGCAGTCAAATTCGAGATTTTGATCGTAAAATCGTAGGATTTTAGGATTTTACTTAGGGATTCCGATCTTGATTTTACTATAAAATCGGTGGACCTTAAAATCGTTTAAAATCGGGACTAAAATCGTTAAAATCGTAAAATAGTACCGAAATCGGGATTTTGATCGTAAGAGAACAAAATAGGTGGTTTGAGCCAATTTAAAATAAGTATAACTGTTTCAGCGGAAAGGGCAATGGAATCTTCTCAGATATTTTTCTATTAGAAAAATATTCAAAAATAATAAAAATAACCAAATTAGGGTTCGGTTAATCTCTTTCCCTTCACCCCATTTAACTTATTGGTAAAACACCTGTCCTAATATTGGAAGTATGTAAGAACTAACATCATTATTAACTAATTAATTTATTAATGAATATATTTGTACCAAGCCACTAACATTACTTATTTTATTGGAGTTCAATTATTTTTAGTTTTAAATCATACTTAGTAGACGATGTCGAAATATTACTTTGAGTTAAACAACCTAGACATAACATGAAAATAAGAGCCAAACCCATGAACTATATCCCTTCATCATGAATTATTTTGAGTTACACATTAAATAACAATTAAAATAGTGATTTTGGAACATTAATCTTGAGAATTATCTTATGGAAAAAAAATCTTCTGAATTATCATTTTAAATGTTATGTGTCTTTGTGATATTAATAATTTACCTTATTAATATTCTTATAATGCTATGTTCTATATGGTACTTAAAATCCTACGATTTTACGATTCGATTATACGATTTTGATTTTACCCCAGTTTTCGATTTTAGGTAAAATCTCGATTTTAACTGCTTAGCCCATCGCAGCCTCTCCAAATCTTCCTATTCTACTCGTCGGGTCATCTCCTCCACTACAAAATATCTCCTCATGTACTCAAAGTTCTCACTGAAACCTAATATCTACAACTTAGGCGCAGAGGGAGCAACCGATGGATTGTAGCGACCCCCACTATTTTGATAGCTAATCAAGAAGAGCGCGTTTGTTTAGTTGTATGGTGATTCGCTTAATTAACAATTTTTATTCCGTTGACAGCCTCCTCTCCGCAATTGTATTGTGTTCACGAAGATCTGAAGGCGCAAGTGCAACAGGTCCAGGGGTAAAGAATATGTATAAAGCGTTGGCCAAATTGAATTGAGTCATTCTACTTGGAATATGAAGATTTTTGCTTAATTGCTTTGGTTCGTGATGCAACTATGTTATGTTTGAAGGTAGACCAACGCAAACAACAGCACAACTCCAGGGCTATTCTGCACATTAGGTATTTGGGGCATTAATTGATAATTATTTGGGATTATTCCTACAAGTAAATAATTTGGAACGTGCCATTATATTGCATTGATTAATAGTTGTTTGAGATTTTTCAAATGAGTGATTTGACATGTTAAACTCTCTTATTTTTGAAAATGGAGTTTTCGAAGTGGAATATGAAGATTTTGGATTAAGTTTGGTTTCGTAACGCCCTTATGGGTGTTTATTCTCTAAAATGCAGCTATCTTTCAAAGTGCCCGTTGCAAATGGCAAGTCAAGATACAACGATGGTACCGGTACACGTTTATATCATTAGTAGGTAGCAGATTGTGTCCATTCTACTATATCATTTAGCTAAGTACTTAGTTGTTCTTTTCAACTAAAAATTATGCTTAAATGCTGTGATTGGCCTCAGAAATGTATGTCTTTGCATTAACTGTTAATGATTGTGAGTTTTGGTTTAATGGTGAAAAGTCCATTTATTTAGAAGTCTAAATTGGGCAAACCTATTGGATAATAGGAATGCCATACATTAGTGTCGTGGGAGGTTTGTTTGATGTCTCAGGGTGTTAGATTTTTAAGAAGGTTGTTTGTTGTGGCAGAGAGTCCCTAAAGCTAGCGAGGTATTCCTATGTGGGCTTTTTCTTTGTTTGACTTTTTCTCGCCTTTTTTCTTATCTCTTTTTCTATTTTTGGTTTTTGTGTGCTACCTTCAGTTGCTACGTCTTCATTTGTGAGCCATCTATACTTTTCTTATTCAGTGCCTAAAAATCATATATACTCGATTGCATAGTAGTTACTAATAGATACATTTATACCAATAGAGAGATTTTAAGTTTTATCAGTTGTTAATTTTAATATTTACTTACATTGGTTGTTTATGTAGTTTTCTTTGTAATATTTCTCATTATACAACTAATTACTATGGCTACGTAGTTGTATAAGTGGGGGTTGGACATGATAGTTCTTAGAAGCATCAATACTTGAAGGTTATTATAATGACCAAATTCTAAAGTTATGGTTTTCCTTCAACTTGCTTGGAGCATTTCAATTATGCATCAATTGTTCTCTCCGTGTAGTTAACTCTCAGGCAAATCGAAAATCTTGCTGATATGTGCTTGATTGTAGTTAAATTTAGGGTTCTACTGCATTGTTGCTTTACTCTTTTTTCGTGGTTGAGTCTGCTTCAAAAAATTTAGTTTGATTTTAGAAAATTTTGCTTCTGCAGTCCTGTCTTGCCACCAACGCGTTCAATAGATGGAGACGGGAGAGGCGAAGGCTATTTTTGTGTTGTTTTTGCTGGTTTAGGGATCGGTTTGTGAAGAAGAGGGAGAAGAGAGGGGGAAAGGGAAATGCAGGAGAGGGGGATAACTCTTTTCTCCGACAAAAATGGAGTGAAGAAAGGAATTATGATCAGTAAGAATATGGTTATCTTACATAACGGTCTCTATTCTGTTTGAATTGAGCTTGAGAGGCAGTGATAAGGACGAGCTGCAACCAATTCATAGTGAGAAGAGAGCTATGAAGTGTGATCATGTCTTATTTCAAGTTAGAAGGTAGTTTCAGTATAAGGATTATTTAATTTGGCAAGTTGTTTCGTCCATGATTCTTGGTAGTTTCAGTGCCATTCTAGCCAATGTTTAGTCTGTAATTTTTGAGAATTGATGTGCGAGTAATGACTTTCACTTAGCTTCAACTATTATGTGTGTATTTATTGGCATGTGATAGAATTCTCTTTTCCTTTTCATTGAATTCATTTTCATACTCTAATTGTATTATTTGTACATAGGCAAATCATGCTCGAGATGGCAACTCGCTGATATGGCTGGTGCAAGGAATGAAGCCATCATTAGAATTCAGACTGACAACGGGGAGGGATGCCCAGGACTAATTCAATGATGATTGATGATAGTATAATAAAAACTGCAGTCTGCATCAGCACCAATTTCTAGGCCTAAGTAAAGGTATTCAACACAGAACTCTGCTTAGCGCTAAAAATTGCCCTCACCCAACCTTGATCCTGTTTGACCCACTTCTGAAAAGTCAAGATATATGACTAATCCTCCCCGTTCGTATTTTCTTATTGACTCTTTCTGACCCTCTAGGTTGGGGCGGGTCGGGAAGAATTGGATTAGTGGGTCGGTCCTAATCAAGTGGAATCCCAATCCCTTCACTCTCACTTGCTTTCTCTCCCATTCCACAAGTGGGTAACATACAGTAATCCGGCCAACGGGCCGGGTAATAAGCTAGTTAATAATAAAAAGGTAATAGTGGCGAAAAAAATGTTGCTAACTTAACAATTAAACGTTAACAATGGTAAGAAAAATGTTAATAGTGGTGAAAAAAGTCACTAAATTAAAAATGAAAAACTATGAATTGGTAACAAAACTTTACTAACTGAAAATTAAGACATTAATAATAATAACAAAAATGCTACTAATGGAATACAGATTAGCAACAAAAACGTTAATAATAAAAAGTTAATAGTGGTAAAAAAGACTGTTAACTTACCAATTAAATATTAAAAATGAAAAAAAAAACGTTAACAATGGTAACAAAAATGCTACTTCTGAAATACATATTAACAATGGACAGGAGTGACGCCGGATGAGGCTTCGCCGGACGTAGTGATGGATGACAAGTAGGGGTGAACAAACACACCCGCAAACCGACCCACCCGTCCAACCCGACCCAACCCACCCGTATTTATCGCTAAAATTAAGGTTTTGGGTTGGGTGATGGGTTTTCTTTTCTACAACTCGCCTCTTTTGGGTTGGGTTTGGGTTTTGGATTACACAACCCGTAGAACCCAACCCAATCCGTGTTCCAACTATTGATATGAATCGTATTCAAAAAATATTTATGCCGTATATAACCATACTTATTAGAAAATTAAGATATTTTGCCATATTTTTTCCTCATGGTCTCACTAATCTAATGCATTTTTCGGGTTAAAGTTTAGAAATAGATTTAATATAGCTATGATTCACGTAATCATTTTTCTTGTGTACGATTTCAATAGAATTATATATTATGGATGCGTTCGTTTGTAACATTTTTATCCTATTTCAACAAATGTCGTGAAAAAAAAAACTAGATATATGTTGACATAAATCACATTTTCATAAAATTTAAACAACATTTGTGAACTTTGATACCTTTCACCTCGGTTTATTCGTTTGAAATTTTAATTAGTTATAAAATATTTTTATGGTGTAGAATAATTACATATTTTGTGTTGGGTTGGGTTTTTACTTAAAAATATCGTCAACCCGACCCAACCCAATTAGAAACAAACCGTAGGGTTTTCATTTTTTTGGGTGGGTTTGGATTTAATATTTCTCAAACCGTAGTGCATGGATCGGGTGATTAAAATGACTAAACCCGGACCACCCGACCCATGTACACCCCTAACGACAAGAGATAGACGCAAAATGCCGACGACGACAAGAGGCGGGAGCGGGTGAACTCGACGGCAAGCGAAAAAAATGAGAACGCAATGGCAACCGAGGGATGTAGCGGGCCAGCGACGGGAGCGAGGGAGCGACGCCGGAAGCCGGAGCTACGCGGTTGTTGACTGAGAGAAGAAGCGACCAGTCTTTCAACGGAATAAGGACGGACAAACGACGGTCAGGACAAAAGACGACTGGCAAACGACGGGCCGGAGAAACTTGCTTGACGGAAATGGAAAGATAGCAGCGGATCTGTGGAGAGAGAACGTTCGGCTGGAAGTGTGAGAAGGGAATATGACGTTGGAGAGGAGGTTATAGGGTTAATTGATATACATTTTATATTATTTATCATTTCCTAAATATCCTTTATAATTAATTAACTTATAACTCCTTATTAACTACCAAATATCCAACCAGCCAATCTCAATGCTTTAAAATTCTCCTTAAAGAAGAGAGTTTAAGGACCTGAACTCAGGCCGTACTTAAGTTGATTTACGTCTCAATCATTGAATTCCTAGCTTGCTATTAGTTTGGGGCCTCCGCTCATTACCAGTAATTGCTACCCCCATAAGGCCTCAGCCCATTGCTTATTGGTTTGTTAAATTTGGGCCTCGACCCATTAGAAAGTAGTTTGTACTTTGTACACCACCAAAAAAAAAAAAAAAACGAAATTCTTGCCAAGCAATGTTTAATTTCTAAAACAGTGCCTCCGGAATTTCATGGTGGCGGGCCTTGCCTATTCAGCTTCTGAGACCCACGTAAACGGCAGCAGGCAAGGCACGCCCCGCCGCCGGTCCGTCCATTAACTCCCACCAGATCACAAGTCCATTAATTGACTTATGCAACGAATCCAACCAACATGCATCGATCATGCATGGCGTAATACGCAAGCTCTAATTGACACACTTTTTGTGTACGCAATAATAATGACACCCATCAGCGGTATAATTAATTTCACTATGAATAGCATTCCAATCATATAATCATCACCCATGAATCATGATTCAAACCTACAGTTTTTTTTTTTTTTGGTAAGACTTATTATTAAACCTACAGTTGCATAGAGGACTTTACTTAAACAAACCAATTAAATAAAAAGAAATAAACAGTGTTTTGTCGGCAAAGTTTTCGCCAAGAAACCTGTAGAATTCAATGTTCAATCATTTGTGTGCCAAATAAATGTGTATTCACTTAAAATAGAAAACAAATTAGCAACCACGACAGTAATGCGGACAATGGTATTGACTAATAAGTAATATAAAAGGGTTTCCAATGGGCAATGTAGGGAGTACAACTAATAAACTCTAAGAAAAAGAAGAAACAATAAGCTATCTCCAGATCACCAACACAAGGTCAAATTGTAACATCCAAATTCGAATTCGCAAATACTTTCTAGCTAGACCCCTCATCCTCCACAAATTCTAGCCTACCCTTTTCTTTCTCATAAACAGATTCCGATGATCAAATCAAACTCTTCTCCCAACTCCCAAGGCTAACATTGATAGTAATAACGGCAAATTCCTATTGTTACATTCACACTTTATAATTAAGGACGAATATATTTCAGCCTACTACATACAATATAATGTCGTTCAGAATTCACAAACCCCGCCAACTTAATAAACAACAACAATTTAACCTACATTCATTCTTGAAAGAAGAATAAAGAAAAAGAAAACACACACTCCAAGCCAATATACCGTTCATCTCGACTAATAAGTAATAATCGATCAATCTCCACCTTTCATATCAACAAAGAGACAAGGAGTGCAGAAAGCACAAAACAAACCTACAACATACCGAGGTTTATACCTATTGAGTAATAAGTTAATCACCACTAATCTATTGAAGTCTATAAACCCTACCAAAAAAACATAGTTCATAACCAACTCTTCAAAGAAGTTCCATTCATTTGCCATTTTCCTCACAACCGAACGGAAACATACACTTAACAGTGACAATCTTCCCCCACAGCACCAGCCATTCATGATCCCAGAAACAAAATGAGTTCTTCAACCAAAACAAACAAAACAAAACAAAACGAGTTCCATTCATTTGCTCATACTAAGTTCTATTCTCAAACAACTTCCTACCTTCACGGGACACAATCCACGTAACCTATTCATCCAGCACTGAATAGATTCCGCTAGACAAAAATGAAAATTCTAGGAGAACTCACATCCAAATATTACACATCATCTGGAATCATAAACTAATAATTGATGGCCAGTAGTGTACCAACTCCACTGGTGAAAATATAACAAGAAAAACTAACACCAGGAAAACATTAGGAACCAAAACCAAATATCTAAAAAGGAAGGACAGTGAAAGCAGGCAAAAAGGGCAAAAGAGCTATAGGATGTGCCAATAGTCATCAACATTCAACACCCCACATTTCCAATTCAGTATGTGGATTCACTTTTACTATTTACTTGCCCGATACATCATCCATGCATAGGCAAATCCCAAATCAGAGCATATGTAGCCTCAAGCACAAGTACCCTTCACGAGGCTAGCCACCATATGTCCAATTTCAGATTCAAAACAGGCCTAATATCCACACCCTATGAGAATCATATAAGCCATTCATGACTGTTCGACACATGAATGGCAACAATTACAGACCGTAAACCATGTAATCAGAAACACTATTGTCCAAACATAGAAGGTGATTAATCAGTACTAACATCAAAAGCTGAACTGAAGGACGATAGTCGTGTAGCTATGCACTTACCCAAAGCTTCTTCCCGCCCAAACAAACTCTTCAGTTCCAGTTCCATGCCTCCAATTCCTTACCCAGAGAGAAACTCACAAAAGCATCCACACAAGCATACTGAACCTGGGCATCAGAGAGGCGATAAGCATTCCAATCACTGGTACCAACCCAATTCGGCTTATGAACCCCAGGATAGCCCAAAACCCCATCTGCCAAAGCCTCCATGGACGAAGTCGTGCTGAGTCCCCTGGATGCAGCAGCGATGGAACGCAGATCAAGAAGCTTAGCCACTTGAAGCTGGTGCTGAGAGCTCTGCAACAGCCGCGCGTCGTTCTGGTTCCAAACCCCGACGAAAGTGATGGTAGGGTCGGCAAGAACGCGCTCGAGAATGCGCGGTGCGAAGTCGGCGTGGAGCAGCTGGAAGATCAGGCATCGGGTGCCGATGCAGAGCTGGAGAGTCGCGGCGGTGTTCGCGTACGGAGGGCGCCACTGAACGCCGAGCCCGACCACGAGCTTGTAGCGACGAGGGCGGTGGAACCGGAGCAATCCATAGAGCCACTCGCGAGCCACGGCGGGAGTGGAAGTGACGGTGGTGATGATCCTGTGGCCGAAGAAGTCGACCGTGAAGTTGCGCTTGTCGCTGAACTCTTCGCCGGCCGAGATGGAGATGTAGCGGTCGTTCATGGCTAGGGTTTTCCGCTTCACTGCAGAAGAGACAAATGGAAGGGATGAAAACTGGTTGAAAATTGCAAGACCGGCAGTAGCTTACCCCGGAAGGAACTTATTGGAGGTTCCGTTTGCACTAGGCGACAATTGAAAAAAAAAAGCCACGCTGTGAAAAAAACGTAAAGAAACGACATCGTTTAGGGGAAGAGGAAAATTTCCCAATTGAAAATTGCTTTTCGTCTCCTAGTCAACTCCCAAACAACACCTTTTCGGCATCCAGAAAGAAAGGCCGTACAGAAAAATCGATCGACTCATTCAGACAAACCATCGAACACGTAGTGTGCATTAACGCAGATGAACTTAAATCTTCGAAATCTTTTGCTACCGATCAAGAAACAAATCACGAATTCTCAATGCAAAGTGCAAACAGTCTGGGTTTCAAACGCAGTAAGAGGATAAAAAACTGAAAGGAGAGATCACCGGACCTCCAATTGCAAACGCAGTGCTCTAGGATTAGCGGAATGCCAGGAACCCAAAGAAACGAGGCTGGAAATCGGATCTGACCGTGAGTATGAGATCTCTCGAGTTGCGCCGAGGATGAGGCAGGCAGCCGATGTTGTAGTGGAAGAAGCGACGGTTGAGGTAGACGGTTGCTTCTAGCTACCTGAGGATGGCGGAGGAGTTGGAGGTGACGGCAACAGAGATCGGCGAGGAACTGAAGAAACCGACGGTTAACTGAACAGACCAATAATCTTCGGATAGCGGGAAGAAAAGGTGGAGACGTCGGCTATTGTGATTTCAGGGCGGGAGAGAGAGAGAGAGAGTGAAGAAGAAGAAGTTGTCGAGGAAGGAGATCAAGAAATCAAAGAAGCGTCGTCAGAGGCAGACTGCAACGGCAGAGAGTGAGAGCGCCCATGCGCGAGAGAGAGAGAGAGAATGAGGGAGACCATTGGCTGTACTGTGGATTTCGCGTTGCTCCTCCTGGAAATTTTTAGAAATACAGCGTTTCCCGCTGGACTAGAGGGCAGTTTTAGTGTAGTGGCGGGCGCACTTGAGGTTCTATGGACACGCGGGGAATCGACGGCCAATGTTCGATGGGAGGTGTTAGGGGAAAAGTAGTTCAGATGATTGAATTTAAGGCCATGATTCACATTAGAAATAGTAATTCAACTAAACACTTTTTAAATTTGCATTTTTATAATTCATGTTTCATGATGTACTCTGTATAAGATTATATGAAAATATCAAATACTGATACAACTTTTAACATAAAAAATCTTGTTTCTCAACCACCCTACTCATTCTCTTCTCCTAAAAAATTGGCAAAGATCAAAGAAGCCCCATCTAAGGGGCTAAATAAAGAAATGGACAAAAGAACTAGTTCATATAGTGCAACTTAGACTTTTGACTCATATTTTAAGCATTCAATCTAACCTAGTGCCATAAAAGTAACAAAAATGAGCTTGGTGACAATCAATTGAAATTCATGAGGTGTCAGATATACTAAAGTTGTGTGAGATACTGAGGTGGCATGACTAACTCATAAATGTATGGATTGGGTTAGAGAGTATTGTTCAAGATATTACTAATGAGGTTGGATTTAGCTACACATTCTTTTCGTTTTCAACAAAATCGGACCAAGTTTGTGGATTCCTCCATTTCAACTTCAGGATTCAAAATTTTACATAAATTTTTTGGATTTAATGTGATGTGAAAAAACGTTATTAAGTTTTATGCACCTCGAAACAGGAAATGACATTTCTTCAACTTTTTATTTTTACAAATCCTCTGCCTCTATTCGATGTTTGATAATTTACCTTGGACTGCCATGACACATGAGTGGTATTGGGTAGTGTGTGCATTATTTTTGAAGGTTTCATTTTTTTTTTTTTGTGATGCAATTTCTTACGCAAGAAAAAAAAGAAACACAAGCAGCTAAATCTCAATATGTGGTACAATTTGTATGTTCATATTGGAAGGATCCAATTAATTTTCCATGATCTCAACCATTGGATCAAAATTAAGGATATGTGGGCTTTTATTCACTCATGATCATTCTCCAAATGACCCGAAATAATTAAGAATTAACCCAAATCCAAGTAACGTTTTGAGGTAAATGACAATTGCGTTATTTAATACAAAGTCTAGTGGCAAATTAGTTAAGAATCAAAGTTCAGTGACCATTCACGCAATTGACCCATCTGCATATAGTTCCAAAATATTCATCCGCCACCCTGCCACCGAAAGGGCAGGGGAAGAAGACGAGTAGGCAGTGGCACAACACGTAAATAAACTGCTTTCGGAGGTCTGATTCACGTACGTTTCTACTCCCGCTCACCAGAACCCGACTTTTGTTGGTTCCCTGTAATTTCAATTTGTTTGCCAGTGAGCGCTCCCTCACGCTTCTTATCAACCCAAAACCCTAACCCTTAACTTCACCCACCAGAACCCGAACCCGAAAAGGCGAGACAGAGAGGGATAACCCTTTTCGCTGGAAGCATCCCCTTTTGAGGAAATTCAACGGTCATCTTGGGATTCCCCCATCCCTCCTCCTTTTGACTTCCATTGACCACCGCCACCTTGGCTGTTTGCCGGAGCAGCCACTGGCGGTTGCGGTTCGGTTGCCTTCTTCCTATTGCTCTGCTGCTGAGGTTGTAAGTTCCCCCCTTTCTGCTACTTCCTTTTCCAGTTTGTGTTCTTCTGCTTTGGGTGTAATTGAGCTTAAGCATATCGGTGAATATAAGGCTATTTGGTGGATGAGGAACTGGAAAGTGAAAAGGAAAGAAAAGAAATGAACTTCTGAGTTTTGCCTGGTTTGTGGGTGCCTCGAATTGTTTTGTGATGATTTGAGTTAGGAGCTGATTCATATTTGGGTTTGGATCGTGGAGCAGTTGGGACTCCAAACTGTCTTTCTCAGTTCGCTTGGAATTGAGGTTTGGAATCTTAGGAACATTTTTGTAGGAGTATCCGGCGAATTAAGAGCTATTTGTTTGCTGTGTTAGTCCTACCGTCTCTCTTAGTAAAGGGTTATCTATGTCTCTGGTTTTTAATTCGTTTGTTTGGTTTTTGTTATTGTTTTGGCAAATTTGGCATTCCAGCGGGGAAATCTTGTAAGAAGTGCAAAACAGCTTCTTTCATGAGTGGCTCAACGTGGTGATTCACCATATCTTGCAGTCGTTCGATTTCTGGTGATATATCATTGCTCTTTGTTAACTGAGGATGGGGAGCCAAGAGATCTTGGATAGTTCAGAGGTTATGGATGTTGGTGTTGGCAGATGTAATGGTGGGTTGTTGCAGCATTTAAGTAATAAGGTTGAGGAGAATGACAACTTGGATGTTGACATACTCAACGATCTGGATGTCTACTCGGAGGCCATCATAAATGACCGCTTGACCGTTTCTCGGGTGGTCAATGACTCGATAATCATGGGCATTGTATCTGCAGTGCAACAGGAAGCTTCTGATGAAATTGCAAATAGAGATTTGGAGTTGGCTAGACTGAAAGAAACTTTCCCCCCTCGTCGATTGAGGATAGATGACAGTGAAGGTTCTGGTGACTCAGCAATGTTTGAGGAGCTGAAAGCTGACCTTTATCCCTCTACTTCAGATGCATCTGCAGAGTTTGATAATTCACAGGAGTGTTTGGAGAAGCTTGCATTAGATGCTAAAGAGCAGTTTAAGAAGCTCAAGATAGAAATTGACAAAGTTAAAGGTTCATGTTCTATGAGAAGGATATCTTCAGCTTCCGAGTCATTGGGATTAAGTGGTATCTTATCTGAAAAGGTGCCTGATAAGTGGGACAATGTGGACAAGAGTCTTCATGATTTGAAAATTGCAGTGAATTCTATCTGTAAACGGGCAATAGATACAGCTGACCAGTCAAAGTCGGTGCTTTTCCAGTGGCAACAGGAAAGAGACTTTCAGCAAGAAATTGAAGGAATGGTGATGAAGAATTGTGTTTGCGGTCTCCAAGAAGAGTTTGAACTCAGATTGTGGAATAAAAGTGCAGAGAGTTTTAGCTACAATGCTGCAAACTTGCCTGAAGGAAAAATTAAAGAGATCTCTACTCTGCGTCAGGAATTGGATGCCATTTCTAGATTGTTGACAGTGCCAGAAAATGGCCAGCTTGTTTCTCATGGATCGTTGGAGCATCGTAAGGTTTCATGCAATCATATTTCGTCAACAAATTCACTTTGGGAGGCAAATGGCAAGCAAGCAGAATCAATCATTCCTACGCCTGAAAATTTTGATCATTCACAATTAAAGCACTTGTCAAGGGATGATTTAGCAAACTATTATAAGACTGAGGTGATCAAAATGAGGAGACAGCATGAGTCAAAAGTGCAAGAGATGACAGAAGAATTATTTAGTCTGAAAAGGGAGTATTTGAGGGAAAGGTCATCTTCCTCGCCTTTGAAGAAGGACAAGGAGTTTGAAGAACTGAGAAGAAGAATTTCTGGCGTTACTTCGTTATTGGATGGATTAATTATGGAAAATGACAAACTACCTCCACATGGCGATGTTGGAGAGTCTCTTGAATGTTTGAAGCATAGGTTGGAATCTCTTTCTCTGGAAAATCGCCAACTGAGAGGCTCGCTAGCAGATAAGAAAAAGGAAACCAAGTTCCTTTCATCTCAAGTTAGTGCTGCGGCTAAAAGATTATCAGAAGCCTCATTGATGGAGGCAAATTTGCGCAGGTTCATTAACAATCTTAGGTGGGCTGCGGAAGATGCACGTTTTGAAGCTTCACTCAGTGACGACCTATATAAGTTCCTTATCAAGGAGATGATTGGCCAGAATGAATCTTCTTTTGAACAACTAGAGTTGGAGATTGATATTAGAAAGGGGATCTATGATATGATTTGCAATGAAGCAGCTGAAAACTATCACTCAATCTCCAAGTGTCAAGCTGAGGATTCAGATTTGGAGGCCATTATCGTGCAAGGATTGAGTGAAATAATCTATAGAGGAGCCTTTCAGGAAGCTGAGATGGAGCTCTATGAATTAAACCATAAATATGTCAATGAAAGTGAAGTTCGAGCAGCCCTTGAAATGAAAGCGTTGGAAATCGAGGAACGTTTGAGGTTGAATGTTGCCGAGAAAGAAATCTTACAGAAACAGATAGTTGCACTAGAAACAAGTAACGAGGAGAAGGAGAAGCTATTGCAAGAGATGGTAGATGCACTTAAAACAGAGAGTCAGAGATATGCGGTAGTGTTGGATGAAGTTGAAATGTTGAAGGCGCATGCTAGTGAGCAGCAATTATTACTTTCTCAAAGTAGGTCTGAAGCAGAAGTCATCAGAGGTCATCTTGGTGAAGCATTTGAGAAAATAAAAATGTATAATAAAGAATCTTGCGAGCTTAGACAGAGTCTCGAACTACTTGGAAAAGAGAAGCAACATGCTTTATCAGAGTTTGAGGCCAAAGAAAGGGAATTGGCAAATCAAATGGGCTTAGCAGTTGTTCTCATACATGGTTTGTCCGCATCTGTTAGTGCCTTCCAGTGTAGAACAGAAGAGATTATTTCCAAGAATAGGTTCAGGTAAACCCTTTATTCTGAAATCTGCATTTAGTTTTCCTTGGTGTGTTTTACCCTCAAGAACAATATTTGTTTGTCCAAAGCATCATCTCTTGTGATTTTCACACCACAAGCTTGTAGTACTTGGCCAAACTGGAAATATAACTGTGCCTTTAGATGCTCTTGGTTCCTACATGATTCAGCTGTCTCATTGAACCTTCCTTTGGTTGGAAACTTCACAATTATATCCTTAAGCAAGCCTTTTTCCTGAAAGTCCACTCATTTTCCATTTACCTTTCATTCTGCTATCATAGTTTATTACTTTTACCAAGATCGTGCGCTGATGTGAGTAGCTGTGTCAGAGTTTCGTTGAATTATATTGATGCAAAATCATGATGCTTGTGTAGGTTGGAAAATATGAGTTCCCAAATAAGTGCTCTTAGGCGTAAGGCTAAGAGACTTGAGCAAATGGGGTTTCTGTACAAGGAGGCACTGAAGAGGAAACGTTCTGACCTAGGAAAGGCTGAAGCTGAGGTAAAGCCATATGTTAATCTTCGTATCAGCTTAGGTTCAACTTGTGGTAATGTAGTCATTTTCAATTTAGCGTTGAATTCAGTGTGATTCCGATTGGTGATTTAGTTAATATTATCGCTCTAAAATGATTCATTTGATTCCTTGAGCAGTACAGCAGAAACCATACTGTCAAACAAACACAAACAATTCTGTTTCCGTCTATTTATCTGGTGAATGTTCTCTGATGATTTCAGGTTGATCTTTTGGGCGATGAGGTGGACACTCTTTTAGGCCTTCTTGAAAAGATCTACATAGCATTAGATCATTATTCTCCTATACTGAAACACTATCCCGGAGTAAGCAACTGCCCCCCTCTTCTCTCAGTTTCTATTACCTTGAAGTCCGATTTGGTTGTCTAACTCATTCATTACTAAACATGGAATCTTCTTTTCATTTGGTTTCAGATAATAGAAATCCTGAAGCTGGTTCGAAGAGAACTGAGTGGGGAACACACGAAACATGCGTGATGCGGCCTGTTCGGAGTTGAAGAACGGTACCTGGACCAAGCCTTTTGTTCGGAAACCATGGGTGTGCTGCAGGGGTTTTGCGTCAACAAAGCTTAGAGTTGATGATGGGTCTCTCCTAGTTTCTGAAACCAAAAGTTGGGTTGGTTGGTTGTCTGTTGGTGCTGTTATGAGTGGCTGCGGCTAGGTTTTTGGTTGTGTATATTTTGGTAGCTCACAGCGAAAGGAATATATGTAGTTATTAAGTTAGTTCATGACAGACGGTTTCTGTTGGATTAGTTCTTTGCACACTTCCAAATTGTAGGTGTTAGCCTCAGCCTGTACAGCTTTTCCTTCTCAAATCCAGAAGAGAATTTCACACCTGCCGGTGCATTGTTTCCACTTTGACGGTCTTACGCAACTCGAACTGAATCAAACCAATGAATTATGGTCTCTGAATTTAACAAAAAGAACATGCTCCTCGACGTTTCAGAACTCTGATGAAGAACTGGGCTGTACGGTGTATGCTTAAAACACAATAGTTTATGTTCGACCATTGCCAGCACCATGAAAAGGAAGTCGAGAAGCTCAAAGCCATTACCAGCCGTCAAGGAAAGCAGCAGCAGCCCATCCCCAACGATGATGGCAGATAGCAGTGAGCACAAAAACCGCTTCTCCTCACTGCGTGAGATCAGAGCAATGTGTGAATTTTGCAGACATGTTATACAATCTTGAGCAAGGCAATCGGATCATAACACTTCAGCCAAAGGTTTCTTTGGCTTCACAATTTCTTTGATGTCAGTGTTGAGTCATTGAGACTATTACCCCATTGGAGTATCACAAACTGTCTCAATTGCGCTGAACCCCCCCAAGCACACACAAACCCCAAGAGTCTAATCTATCTTTCTTCCAGTGATTCTGTGCAAATTTTGGACGAAGGTATATCTTTACAGTCAAATTTCACAACAATGATGGCCTCTGTCCTCCCGATCAGCTATCGTTCGCCAATGAATCTTTAGTGATGAAGTTAATAGCCAGTAGAGCTGCTCCAACTGCAGGTTCCACCTGGAAGAATATTACACAATAGGATCTTGTTTACATTAAGCGGACAACCTTGTAAGAACTGCATATCCAATGACTTCTGCTATTCTCAATGGTTTCACTGGACTAGCTAGTGAAAGTAATGAATGTGAAGAAAGCAAATTAAGTCGATGTGCAATTTTTCGGAACTCAAATTGAAGAAGGCTAACCTTCGGCCTAACTGCATAAGCACCACTGAAGTTCTCCTTAACACATTTCATAACTTCATTTCCTATATCCCATCCCTTGTTAGCTTCAAGGACTCCACCAACCATTACCACAGGGAAAGAGCCTTTTCCATCTGCAATTGTAGAAAGGGGTTTAATGCATATTGAAGCAGGGGATTTTGTACTGTCTTTTACCATATACAGAACATATGCATCACTTTACTTAGACTTTTAGAGTAAGCTTTTGGGGAGTAATTGAAAGACTCTATTATTGGAAGGACATGATAAGATATACAGAATATCAAATACCTTCACCACACAAATTAAGCCGTTCAACAACCGCCTTCACACTTAATGCCAATTCCTGTACCGCATTGACAAGAATCTTATCCGCAACTTCATCTGAATCTTCTGCACAAGCTACCACTTCAGGAACAAGAGCTGCGATGCGTGCCCACGATGAATCTGCATAAGTCCACCTAAATATATTCCAGAGGGAAGATAGGCTTGCATTAGTTCGCCTAATCCAAATATCGTTCAGCTTCTTTAGCAAGAAACCCTATGAAAGCTCTCTAATATCCCCCTTTGGTCAATCGTTGAATTGAGTAAAAACGTATATTCTTTCCAAGGATTACACAACAGACCGTAAAGAGGCTACCAGCACCAGAACCTACTAGAAACGAAATGCTTGAGTCATAAGAAAATAAACCAATGAAATTGAGCTCAGGAAACTTGACTTGCAAAAGGAATAAACATGATATAGCCTTTTGTTTGAATAAATCTATAAAGTGAAACAAGAAATTGCGGGAATGCCTATTTCAGAACAGAAAACCCCTATCTTCATGGGGCTCCAAGATTTTACATCATATCTTGAGAGTGAGTAGCAAGTAATACCCTATGATTTCATCAGGAGTAGAAAGGCCAAGTGTCTTCAGCATCTTATTTGTAAGTTTCGTTGGTGGGCCACGTCCGTCATGAGCCCTTATCACTGCTGTTAATGCACGTGCTGCAATTCCATAGCCACTGCAAAATGTCACGTATCATTGGTTGTTTCACAGTAAGGCAACCACATTACATTACCAGTACCAACTCCACCTTAGCAATGTCGTAGTTAGGTTCTTGTAAGTTGTGACAAGCAAATATGATGTACAAGACATAGACAACAGTCAGGGAGTCCTGAAATGAGGGTAGCACAGCATATCCAAAAGCAAAATTTGCAATCGCAATTCACAAGATTTCCTAACTATTAGGAGTCAGATAAGCAAGCTCATCATAATTCACCAGAATCAATTTAACTCTGTTTTGTTTCAGAATTATGAAGATACCATCATATATTCTGCAGAATTTCGTGATACTATAGAAAATCAGCTCTGGAAAGAAAAACTGATTCCCAGAGCACAACATGAAGGAAGACAAGTTGGTGTGGCATCCTACTAAAGTTAATTTCTTCTGAATTAATAAATCAATCAGATGACAAAGACCACATACCTCCCCCAGTCACCTAAGACAGGTCCTGCACCTGAAGACCGAGCTTCTTTACCATCATCAGCAATACCATAAGAGATGCAGCCTGTACCAGCAATTAACACACACCCATGGAGCCTTCCCATGGTCCCACTAGCCAAAGCAGCGACAGCATCATTACGCACGTACAACTTCACATTGATAGGAAACATATCCCTGGGAAATGGAAGCAACTTATTCAGCACAAGATGTCCAGGAATAGCATAACAAACTGGAGCAATGCCAACCAAGAGAAACCAGCTTATTACTGTTCACAAACCATTGCAAAATTGCAACACATGCAAGCTTTCTAGGAATGCAATACAAACTGCACCTCATGACCGAGAAAGCTGTTTCAAGATCAATGACGAACATAGAATAAAAAATAGAGAACAAAATGGTTTCACAATTGCATATCATTTGAGCAACAACAGAATGGGAACTTATCATTGCCAGAAAGCATACCTTAGCCAATTCAGTACCCTCTCTTGATCAGACGGATGATTCACACCAGACACACCTAAGCACACAGCTCGCACTGCAGACCGATTGGAGCCTGATTTCTCGAGGGCTTCCGTCATGACGCGTTCTAATGTTTCCCTCGCAGCAGTTTCTGGTGAATATCACAATTTCACAATCAGTTACCTGATTATCTGATAATTCCAGCATTCCACTCGGCCTAAATACATCAGTCAGCTATCCAGAACCAAGAAACAAGATCCATACAACTAAGCAGCAAGTTATCCAGTCAAGAACCTCTCGACCTTCAGTAACCGAAAACCTAAAGGAACTGCTAGAGCTTCTAATTCCACATTCAAGAAACCAATTCGATCTTGTATCCGAAAAACTACTCAGTTATTCAAGAGCTAAGGAAGGAACAACGAGGCGAATTAGCGATCAACAACGGACCTCCGACGCTGTTGTGGTTGGAGCAGCCGGCAGCGGCGCGTCCGAGAACGGGGACGGGATCAGGTAGCTCGTCACCGAAGTCGAGGAACGGCATACAGACGCAGACCGTTGAGGTAGTGCCGCCGTCAACTCCGAGAACGACGCCGCTCGATCGGCTTCCGCCGTTTTGGTGAGGAGGAGAGTGAGCTCTGGGTACTGTTTCCGCTCCTACTTCTTCTCCCGCGCGACGAGGATTATGTAAAGCCGGCGGCGTCTCTCCGTCTCCAATGTGATCGTCCATGATATTGCTCTGTGTTCTGCTCAGTCGGAGACCAGAAATTGAGAGGAGCAGTTGGTAATAATCGGTTTTTGTTCGGGGAAATGGTGAGCCAACGATGAGATCAGAGAAGTGACGGATGAAACGTCTATCCTTCGCTCCGCTGCCCTGCCAACTCTATCCGCTTTTTCTTGCCGCCCTTGCTTGTTTTCTTCTTACATCTGACTCGGATGTTGACTTTGTTGCTAATTTTTATTAATTCTTTCCATATTAACATACATTATACTGAAATTAAAATCAGCAAAATTCACTTACATGTCTTTGTGGAACTCAACAACACGCCTTTGTGGAATGTTCCTGGGGCTCGAGAATTTGGAGGCAATCAAGCTATGTTGATCTGTATGCACTACATGGGACGGGTTCGACGCTGGAGTGGTTGAAGAAGGCGAAGGAGAAGGCGGGGGATGAAAGCTTCGCCGAGTGGAGCGTGCTGTTATGGTTTCTTTGGAAAGAGCCAATGCTCACTTGTTTAATGGCCTGAAGACGGCAGAAGATGAGATCGTGGATAGGGCAAGGCACTTCTTGGAAGACTATCGCCAATATCAGGAGAGGAGCACACCACCTCAGCCCCCTCATGGCGAGAAGAAATGTCGCAAACCTCCGAGGGGTCGAGTCATGGTAAACACTGACGCTGGGGTGCTACAAGACGGGAGAATCGGCCTTGGAGTGGTAATGCGGGACGAGAACGGGAAGTTTATTCTTGCAGCAGCAAAGATGGTACATGGGCAGTTCACACCGGAAATGGTTGAGGCGATGGCTTTGGAGATGGGAGCTCAGCTGGCGCAACAATTTAACGTCCAAAATCCAATCATGGCGACGAATTGTTTGCAGCTGGTGCGACTGTTGACAGAGCAATCTTGTTCTCGATCGGAGCTGGGAGTGGTGTGTCGGAATATTCGACGGCTGGTGGAGGAGCGACGAGAAAGCTTTTCTCATGTGTACAGGGAGGCAAATGAAGCTGCTCATATCATGGCACATGCTCGCACTGTGGTGCGTATGAAACTCAACAACACGCCTTTGTGGAATGTTCCCGGGGCTCGAGAATTTGGAGGAAATCAAGCTATGTTGATCTGTATGCACTACATGGGACGGGTTCAACGCTGGAGTGGTTGAAGAAGGCGAAGGAGAAGGCGGGGGATGAACGCTTCGCCGAGTGGAGCGTGCTGTTATGGTTTCTTTGGAAAGAGCGTAATGCTCACTTATTTAATGGCCTGAAGACGGCGGAAGATGAGATCGTGGATAGGGCAAGGCACTTCCTGGAAGACTATCGCCAATATCAGGAGAGGAGCACACCACCTCAGCCCTCTCTCGGCGAGAAGAAATGGCGCAAACCTCCGAGGGGTCGAGTCATGGTAAACACTGACGCTGGGGTGCTACAAGACGGGGGAATCGGCCTTGGAGTGGTAATGCGGGACGAGAACGGGAAGTTTATTCTTGCAGCAGCAAAGATGGTACATGGGCAGTTCACACCGGAAATGGCTGAGGAGATGGCTTTGGAGATGGGAGCTCAGCTGGCGCAACAATTTAACGTCCAAAATCCAATCATGGCGACAAATTGTTTGCAGCTGGTGCGACTGTTGATAGAGCAATCTTGTTCTCGATCGGAGCTGGGAGTGGTGTGTCGGAATATTCGACGGCTGGTGGAGGAGCGACGAGGAAGCTTTTCTCATGTGTACAGGGAGGCAAATGAAGCTGCTCATATCATGGCACATGCTCGCACTAGATGGGACGAGAGGATTGTTTGGATGGATCGACCGCCAATTTACTTAGTTGATCAGATTAAGCTGGATGATGTAGCAGCCAATTCCGATTAATGATTTGATTACAGGTTTCTGTAAAAAAAAAATATATCAACCTCCTAGTACTTTTCCATATTTGACTTTTATCGAACTTCTCTATGAGCCACAACTTAAGTTCTTTTTTCATTCGGATAAAAAAATCAAGCTTTGTGCTTAACATTGAAATTTGTTTAAAATTTTAGATGAGTGTACACTTGGTTCACAAAGGCATCAAGGAAGTCTTAGAAGGACTCTCAAGAGTTTCCAATCAATGTCTGATATGTAAGCATGTGCTCTTTATATTACTAACACTCTACGAAGGAAAGAAAGAAAATAGAGGGAAAGGAAAATTTGAAGGAGAGGAAGGAAGATTTGGAAGGAAGGGAAAAGGTTGTTTTATGGAGAAAAGTAAAGAGAAAAGTGGGAGGGAAAAAGTGTATTGGAAAGTGTGATAGATGTGTTATTATATTAGTTATTTAATATTAAAGTAATTTAATTATGAGAAAATGATATTTTTATTAGTTATGAATTGTGAATCATACTTATTCTTTCTTGATAATTTGGTTCATTATTAAAAAAAAATTCTCGATTTAAAATGTCGTTCGTGTTAACTCGATTTAAAAATTTATAATAAAAATCATATTACCTCTAATGCACAAGATAACATCCATCTATAAAAATTTCAAACTCTTACGCCGTTTTTAAAAGGAACGTAATACACTTTTTTTACAGGTAATACACTTACATTTCGCATAACATTTTTTTTTTTTGACAAGAAGCTGCATATATTGCACTTCAGAAGTGAGTACAAAGTTTAGGGTAAAACCCATAGAAAGATACAGTAGAAGTCAAAAGGAAAAAAGCCCACACACAAAGCCCCAACAATGTTTCAAAAAGAAACAAAAAATGAAGCTCAAAACCCAGAGCCTGCAAAGTGAGCCCAAACCCAACAGACAACTACCAACACCAACCCTAGCTATCCTCTCTTCTCCAACCTGCCGCCGCCAACCAAAAGAACAGAGCCGCCGAAAAGCAATCGTCGACCACCAGCTCACCTTGCAGCGACCAGACCAACGCCACAACGGGAGAGCAGCAGTCCGCGAGGAGCCCAGAGACCACGAAAACGGCAACGAACAGGCTTGGAGAAAAGAGACGAGCTTTAGACTGATGCATCCCTGCCTTCAACATCTTAGAACTGCATCCAGACCGCTGCATATGAGTAGGCCTTTGCATCTCCGAAACACCGACGCAATGGGTGAAGCAAGGAGGTTGATGAAAGGTAAGAAGATGAGAAGACAAGCTACTGACCAGAAATCAATAGCCCCCTTTGACCACTGAGCGAAAGAACCAAGCACATCTAGATCTGAGGATCAGAAGTAGAGGTTGGAACAGGAAACATCCATCTCACAAGGAGTGGCAGAAAGAAAACCCCAAAGATGGGCATGAAAGCAAAAAGCTGGAAAAGGAAAAACGAACAAGCACTGCAAAAGAAACTGGAACCAAGCATAAAAAACAAGCAGTAAAGAAAAGGATTTTGGAGGGCCACCGTCGGTCCCAAAGGGAAGCCGGCGGCAGCCCCATGGAGGCTTGAAACTGAAACCCAAACTAAGAGAGAAGGCAGAGAAAAGGAAAGTTAGAGAGAGAAGCTGTTTTAGTTTTTCGCATAACATTTTAATGTATAGTGCAAACCAACGTTATACATGAGGCAAATTACCTATTTGGTATAAACCAAATGTCAATCCAGTCCATTGGTATGATCCAACCGTATGGTATGATATTTAATAATAAAATAAGATGACATTTCATAATTATCTTTGCCTATAATTATCCATCATCATTGTACACTATGGTATATTCACCATACTCACTTTCATATTCTATTATATAATTTAACATATTAGCAATATCACCATGGTATGGACTAGTAATAAATGTCCCAATTGTTTTTGTTCTAAAGTATATCAAAGTGGGTGTCATTTTGAATAACAAAATTAATCTTTGTAAAAAAAATAAAAAATAAATAAAGACTTAGAAACGAATGATATATGGCTTGATAAAATTAATTGAGAACTATGTTCATGCATAACAAATTCTCATTTATTAAAAACAAGTTACCAATTTTTTCTTGTATAAACTAACGTGAAATTAGAAATTTGGAATAGAGAGAAATAAGGGACAAGGAAGAGAGGAAGAGGAGAGAAGAAATATATACGTAAAAAAGAATGAAGAAAAGTGAGTAAAGTATGTTTCTCTCCAATTCGAAGGTGTGAGTGCCACAGTATCTTTTCTTTCCTATTTTCTTTCCTTCGGTACTGTTTGAAACAAAAAAAAATGGAGGATTATTTCTTGGAACCCCAACTTTTCCTGTCAGTTTTGCATTCCCTAATGGAAATAAATACAGTGCTTGATAGAAAAAAAAAATATTTCATTCATTCTAGATACGTCACACTTCCAATGTTTATATGAGAGTGCTATGTATCTAAAAAACTGCTCCAAAAGAAAGCTACAATCACTTAGGATAATATATAACATACCTAGCAACTAATGCTAAAACATCACAGATAATTGAACATGGAACATTTAACCTATAAAATACTAATAGATAAAGACAGTGGGTTTTTTAGAGCAAGGGTTCTGCTAATCGATATTTAGAACAACTAGGCACCGCTTCTTCCACACCATTCACGACCCTCTGGTTGATCATCCTCGGTAAAGGCCCATCGCCGGTACCCTGCTTCCCTATCTTCTTCATCAGAAAACATTTTAGAGGTCACGTTCCATGGCTAAGCTTTGACGATTTTCCTATTTATCACGTCGCCCAAGCGTTCAAAGTAGCCGCACCCCGGTCCGAATAGCTTTGGATGAGTAGCCTGCACGTACAAATGTAGCTGGTATGTTAATTACAAAAATAAACAAAATGTAAGAGCATCGTGGGGAAAGCTAGTACCTCGTAATAATTCCAGTAACACCCAAAGTAAAGTGGGCAACCGTCAGTGGTGTTTGGCAACTTACACCTGCTCGCTCGCAGGCCACAAAAGCATATGAGGTCGGGATCGTCGTCGTAGCTGAAAGCGTCGCAATCTCGGCCAAGAAGTGGAATCAAGGCGGCGCTGGGAAAGTAAGTAATGGGGTACATTGTGAGGGAAGGATGATCCCGTTTTGTGAATGAAAGCTTTTGTGGATAAAAGTGTAAGCGTTTGCGGAAACAACTCAACCCATTTAAAGTGTCCCGGTGAAGGAAAATTCTTGTCATGTATTATTAACATATTATATTAATATTTGAGAGGTTAAAATTATATATTCACCTGTTACACTAATTAGTAATCTTTGTAGCGTTGAG